ATAAAACAGAAAAGCAGCTGCTTAAATGTCGGAATTCTTAAATTACCAAAATCTACTTCTTTCAAAACATGTCCATATTCTTCATAATAAAAACTTCTTATTAAACAAGCGATTGGTTTGTCAGGTGTGTGGTCGCAACCTTTAATCATCGTTCTCGGTCATTCTGATCTTGGGGAAGACAAAATACATGAACCTTATTTTGTTCATTATAGTTACATGATCAATGACTTGATCTTTAAGATTTGATTTTAAGAACGGTGGTAACACAATTTAGATTTACTGAATTTATGGCATTAATTTTATCTGATAAAATTCTTAAATGTCATTTTTCATTAATATAGCAATGGAAAAAGTTACATATTTTGTCTTCATACTTAATATTACTCATTTTTCTTTTTTATTTATTTGTTTAAATTATACGAACGCGTACAGTTCCCTATGTAAAATCAACGTAAATCAATCACCCACTTTACTACCAGTAGAATTAAGAAATATGATTATTTTATGTTGTTTTAAAGAAATTACATGGTAACAAAAGATTTCTAAAATTTTTTTTCACTTTTCAGGGTCCGTTTTATGTTGAAGTTAAAGTTTTTAGATAATTGTATCTTACGTGGGACGGGGAGTACAGACCAATCACCTCTTCCCCCCTGAAATACATCTTAGTTAAACAAAATTAACCAGTTTAATATTTTTAACACTATTTTTAAAACAATTACTGTAAAAATATTAAATTAATTTTGTATTACATTTTAACCACGATGCTAATAAAATTCGACATACATTATTTTAAATACTAATAAAAATACTTTTTAAATTTTAAGTCAATGTGTTTATTGTTCTTTGAAGAATAATATCCTAGAAAAAATATTAAATTAAGTTTTTATTCAAATGGATAAATTTCTTTAAAGTAGTTTGGGAAAATTATCAGTGAAAAAAGTTACATTCATTATTTTGCTTTCTTACAAAGACGATATCATCAACATATTTCACGTATTATAAACACGAATTATTCCTTAAAATGAATTTTGTTAATCAAAATATTCGTTATTAGGATGAATACTAGTATCAATAAAAAAATCAGTTAATTCTGACAAAATTCTTAATAATAACATTTTTTGTGAATTTCGCTGTTTAAAATAATTACAAAATTGTAAGAAAGAAAAAGACGATATTGACAAGATAATAATGTCTTCTCTTTTACAATTTTTGTGATATATTTTTAAGAATAGTTGTAAAATATTAAATTTATTATTTAATTTTATTTTTTCTTATTAACTTTATGTGATAAATTCTTCAATAAGTGTATTTTTTCATTAATATCAGAGTGAAAAACGTTAATATAGTCTATTTATGCAGGACAAAAATTCAACAATCATTTAAAAATATACCTGTTTGTTCTGTTAACAAACAAATTATTCATAACAAATTAATTTTATACTTAATATAGTCATTGTTGAAGAGCAATAACATAGAAAAAAAATTAAATTTACTTTATGTGATAACATTCTTAATAACACTTGTGAAAAAGTTTGTTTAAAGATAAAATATTCAACTTCAAATAAAATAAATAAACATTATGCATACTTCAGTATCATAAATAATAAACTTAATTTAATCCAAAGGTAAAAAGTAAAGATTTCTTTAAATTATATTTTCTTAATCCAATTCCAGTAACAAACTTTCGCAAGTTACCTGTTTGCCCCTAGTCACTGAAGAACTAAACACGGTGCAAAGGCCTGGATTAAGGATCACCTTATTTTCTTCAGTTAATAAATTACCTAATATTCTGAGAGTATTAGTATTGGAGAAATTTCAAGTATCGTTTTTGTCTTTGTCATATCTCTGGCTCGGTGTAGGGAATAATAGTTTGGTTGACTACTTAGCAGCAAGTTCGATCTTCGCTGTACACCCCAAAGGTTGACATGTAGTAAAATCAACCAACCATCTATTGGCATAATGTAATAATTAGTCAGGCTAGTCCAGTTGACCCTTACTACTGAATAGTGATTTCGATTCTCACTGGGTGCCCCAATGCAAATTTCGGCATTAAATAACTCCAAAAAGTCATGAAATCAACTAACCAACAATCGTAGTCAGATAAAGGTTAGCGAGGCTATTTGACCATCACGAGTGGGTAGTGAGTTCGATCCTCACTGACTGCCCCATGCAAATCTCAGCGTTAAATAAACCAATAAGAGTTGGCATGTTGTAAAAACAACCAACCAACAACCGGTGTAGGGTAATAGTTAACGAGAAATACTATTTGACCATTACGAGTAAGTACTAATTTCCATTAACACGGAAAGTTCCATTCAAAATACGACATTAAACAAACCAACAAGTCCTGACATATCGGCAAACTTGGACCTTCGTGTCCGCAAAACAATGGAGTGTCAAAAGGACGGGATTTTTTTCCCCCAAGACACCGCTTTTATTTTAAGTATTTTCACTCCTCGGAAATGTTTATTGTTTTAAAAAGCGGTGATTAGAATTGCAATAAAACCTAAACATATGAAAGTGAATTTATGCATTTTCTTTGTTCTTGAGAATTGACAACAAAAATTATAAACTTTATTTATTTATTAGATTCTTTATCTACACTATTTATCACATTTTTATTAAAATGGTTGGCAAAACATAGGCAATTGATTCGATCTTTATAAAATGGTAAATAATAAGGATTTACATAAAATTGCTTCATATATTTGAATAATTTAGTAAATGTATATAAATTTATGAATATAAAATTGTTTTTATATTTATTTCTTTATAAATTGTTAAATGATTATATATTGCATTGTAACAGTCTTAACGCAATTAATATTTTGATTATAAATTCTCATTAATAAAAAGATGTATAAATTCATTTTCACGATACGTTTAGGTTTTGTTACATTTCTAATCATCGTCTTTTTGTCGAGGGAATGAAAGTAGTTAAAATAAAAGCGGTGTCATGCGAAAAATCGTTCTTTTGACATTCCATGTGTGTGTGCGTGTGTGTGTGTGTACGCGTGTGTGTGTGTGTGTGTGTGTGTGTGTGTGTGTGTGTGTGTGCGCTCACGCGTGTGTATGGTAATTTAAGGCTTTAGGAGAATTTCAATCTGAATAATTAATTTGATTTGGTTTGTTTAACGGCATATCAACTTCTTATGGGTCATTAATGCCGAAATTTAATTTTCTTGGGAGTTTTGGTATTTTCTTTGGTATTAAAATCTATTGCTGGAATTTGTTACTATAAAAATGTATTTTTATACTTTCATAATGTTTTGACCTCAGTTTGGGGTTTAACTATTTACCCATAGCTGAGACCCAAACAGGCGCTACCAACCTATGTCAGGGTGGACCTGGAAACAACAGCAATTAAGAGGTGGTTCTACGTTCCTCAAAACCTCCCGATCAGAAGGTTTGCTACCGGATGTAGTTTATCGTCATACCAAGGACGGTTGAATAATTAGACAACAAAAAGTAGCTCATTCCGATGTGAAAAACTCAAGGAGAAAGAATGTTCACCTCCTATCCTATAAACTTAGTCGATGTCCAACCGCCTTACTTTCTTTTAAGTAACCAGCATCAAAATGAATTCACATCCACTTTAAGAATAAGAACTATAGTTTTTAGAAAGGGCCTCCAGATACAACACACATTTAAGGGATGTAGAATAACATAGCCGAAATCCTGTATTGAAAAAAAAAGCGAAAGTGGAAACAAAAGCCTGAGAAAAAAACAAAAAACAAACAAACAAACGGAATCATTCAAATACTTAATCTCTGACAGTCACGAAACTTGAAGAACATATGGTTGGAAAAGTTGTATTAAAAACTATAAATATGAAGACAGAAGAATCTACGGCATAAAGAAAATACTCCGTCTAGATACTTGAGACAATACAAGAAACTATACACACCAGGAAGAACGTTATGTTAAAATTCTTTGTCGAATAAAAGATTATGCGCGGAATTATTCTTGGTTGTGATAAGATGAAATTTCTTTCTGCAGATGTTTGTTGGGTGTCAAATGTCTCAATGTCTCTGATAACATTTCAGCATTTGAAAAAAATAATTAGAAGTTTTCCAGACGAAGCCCAAGCAAAAATGTGCATTTTATTGACAAATCGAAGATTTTTATTCCGCACAGAGAAGATGCAGCCTTTTCTTTGCAAAACGGAGAAAAGCAGTAAGACGCTCTCTCTCTCCCTCTCTCTCTCTCTCTCCGTGAGGGGGGTGGGGGTGGGGGAAATCATTCCAAAGCTGTAATTATGCTAATCTTTTATAGATAAAAATTTGCATGGAAAATATTTAGTTGTTGCTCTGACGTCAATGTCCTAAAACTAATAATCAAATTGTATGTTTTGTAAAATAGCAAGTTATATCAGAAGTTTCCTAAAATGAATATTTGTCCGTTGTTGCATACAGGGCAAAAGTTTATGAGCTATGTTTTATATATTATATATATATATATATATATATATATATATATATATATATATATATATATATATATATATATATATATATATATATATATATATATATCTGTTGCAAAACAGGCTTACGGCCACATCACGTTGAAGTCTTGGGTATGACGTCCTCTAGTCGGAAGATTGGAGGTTTTGAGGAGCGTGGAGTCACCCCTCAAATGCTATTGGTTTCTCAGGCACACCCAGACCCGGGGTTATAGCACCTATTAGGGTCACAGATGCGGGCAAATAGTGAACTTCCACCAAAAATAAACACCATGAAAGTATAAAAAGACATTTTTATCGTAAGAAAACCGGTAATATATTTTTACATAAAGTTACCAAAATAACTATTTATAGTAAAATTACCAACAATATATTTTTAAATGAAAAGACCCATCAGTACATTTTATAACAGAATGACTAAAAATACATTTTCTCTGTAGCCATAAAAATTGTGTTCAAATTTAGATTTCGGCAATAAATAACACATAAAGGTGTTGATATGCCGCTAAACAAAATCAGTCAGTCAACCAACATCAGCTTGAAACACCGATTCCCATGCGATCATTGAAGTTAAGCATCGTCGAGCCTGGTCAGTACCTGGATGGGTGACCGCTTGGTCACCCATCCAGGTACTTACAGGCGCTGTAAACTTGCGAGTGGTGCAATGGATAATAGCTCAGAATTGTTTATTGAAGTTTCAATTCCCATTAGGTTTGTTATATTCACTTACACGCAAATGACATTGGGAAAAGTATAAATCCACCTCTCCCACCCCCAGCTATATGTTAATTACTTAGACTTGTATCACTTAACCCTTACTATCTCCAAAATATGTCTAACAATCTGAAAATATTTTCTGCCTTTAAATAACACGTAAAGGGATGATAAGCCGTAGAAAATGAATGAAACAATCAATCAGTCTATGACTACATTTTTTCTTAATAATTTTAAATCTTGAACGATTATAAAATATTCTTTCGTCATTAAATTATTAAAAGTAAAACGCTTATCAATCAAGATAGTCGTAGCCCACACGAGCTTCATTCTCGACCATTATTATTATTATTATCATTATTATTATTATTATTATTATTATTATTATTATCATCTTTGATTTCTGTTGATACACATTTTCTTCCGGATCCCAACCAGTGACCTAAGGTCAGAAATGGCTTCATGACATTTTCCGCTGATCATTTGTGTGACAAAAAAAAACAAAAAAACAAAAAAAAACAGAAACTGAGATCACACATATTTTACATATATAAAGTTGTTCGTAATGTGTGAGTTGTACTTGTGAGTACTATTTTTTGTATTTTTTTAAGGCATGGACTACCAGGAATCACTTCAATGAGTCTATCAATTCAATCAATCCGTGGGCTCCAACTACAATTGGAATTATTAATGTTCTCTTGTGCCACGGTTTTTAGATTTCCACTTCAAGATCCCTGTATTTTGATATCTTTTGAAGATCTTCAAAGATACGGGGGCTGCCATGTCAATATGAAAGCACATTCCGTTTTTGTTGTATTTGATTACGATATTTGGGTGAGTTGCTTTGATTGTTCTGCCTGTGTGAATTGAAAAATTCTATAAATTTGTTACAGTTCTTATCTCCGTAACCCGGTGGTTAATTTTCATTATTATTATTATTATTATTATTATTATTATTATTATTATTATTATTATTATTATTTCTTTTGCTAATTTCCTGTTTTCAATCGGAGAATATGTATTATGTGTACCCACTACCAAGATACACATATATATTGGCAGTAACAAGCAACTAACATTTCTGAAATGGCTGTATTCTTATTTTCGCAGTGAAACTTGATAGTATAGACCACAACCTACCAATGATAACTAGACAATCGTGCCCTGGTTATCCTAGCCTTTGACATCTTCAATATGGACATCTGGGTATTAAGATGCTAGTTTCCACTTCAAGATTCTTGTATTTTGATATCTTTTGAAGATCTTCAAAGATACGGGGGCTGCCATGTCAATATGAAAGCACATTCCGTTTTTGTCGTATTTGATTACGATTTGATCACCAGGAATAGTCAAGTCAGTGCGAAGGAGGTATTTATTTTTATCAAGGATGGTGATGCCTGGACTGCTGATCGTGACTACATGATCTGTTTGAACGTTAAAATGCCATAGTTTTGCCCTGCTATATATTGGTAGCTCTGTATATTCGCCTATTCCGCTCTGCATATTCGCTTATTCCGCCTCCACGATGATTTTATCACAAGGTACCGTAGAGTCTATCAAGATCCACCCGTTGCTGCTCTTTTGCACAATCAGGGCGATTGATCTCCAATCACTTGTCAGTGAAAATGGCTGAATAAGAAAGCTTCACTTGCTCATTCTCGTCTACTGACTTGTGCCACTTTCATGCGTACTTGAAGCCATACTTCTTGTATAGTTCCCAGTATATTATGAAAGCTTCTTTGTCCTGGCATCGTGTGTACTATTTTTGTGCTAGCTAAGTTTCAGTAGCTTTCCAACACGGCCTACATATGGTAAATTTCTTCGATTCTCCCCCGGGAGTTTTGGTACGTCTGTATTTTCGGCTACTCTGCTTTATATTTTTGCCTACACCACCATCAAGGTGTTCTTAGCCAAAGGTAGAGCAATGCCTATCAGAATCCATTCGTGATCGGTCTTGTGTTATCAGAGTGATCACTCACTATGCATTTGTCAATCAAAATGGTTGCATCCCACACGTACTTCACTTTCTCATTCTCGGCTACTGAAAATTTTGAATGCATGTACCTCACCTCTGCAATTTTGAGACATTCTGAGGGCTACTTTGTTATTACATTGTCTGTACTCTTTTTGTGCCAGCTGAGTACAGTCACTCATACAATTTCAATAGCTTTCCCGACACAGCCTGTAGAAGGATAGACCAGTTGTGATATCAATAGGGTACTTGCTGTTATTTTTTTCTTAAAGCGTTATTTATCATTATTATTAGTGAATGAAATATCAAATTTTCTCCTCCTGTCGGGGGGAAAAGATAAGATTCGCAAACATCTAATCATGAAAAGAGGCGAAGGGCCCAAAACCCGACACTCTTGACGCTATATTTCTCTCGGATAGCTGCAGGTTTACGAGTATTCTGGTTTTTGAACACGTTTTTATATACCATCAAATAAAGGGCACCTCGAGGCGGTGTAATAGTAAGCCTGTCTCGCTACAACAGTTATGACTGAGTAGTGAGTTCGATCCTCAGTGGATACCCCATACTTTCGGACTTGTGTCACATCTAAGCTACGCTTGGAACATCACTTTAGGCACCTTGAGGCGGTGTAATGTTTAGCAAGCTTGTCTCGCTAGTACAATTACGACTGAATAGTGAGATCGAACCTCACTAGATGCTTTCTACTTTCGGCCTTGTGCCAGATCTAAGCTACGCTTGGAAAATCAAATAAGATGATTAAGTTTGGCCATAGATGAGCTCTACGGTCTTGACATCTATTATTTCTATCTCATTTTTTCAAATCCAAGAGATGAATTTGAAACCGTTACCAAATATCTGTGATTCAGTTTCCGACAATAAAATTTATTATGCGCCAGTTATTCATTGCTTTCTTTATTTTGTTTATTTTCTTTTCTCTTTGTTTCCTAGAGAAACTGAGATTTGGAGATTACTAAATAAAGTTCGCGTCTGTGATTAATCAAGTGAGGTTCGAGGTTAACATCAAAATTTTATTGGCCTTTGCGTCAAGTTAACAAATGGGTGACCAATTACAAACTTTCGAATATCGGGATAGAACGTGAACTTGGGCCTAAGTGTCACTTGACGAGAGCATCTGAAAAAAAATAGTGGGCATGTAATTAACTTTCAAGAGAGTTATTGATTAATGTTGAATGACTAATGGCTTCAGTTGGTTACAACAAAGAATAAAAAACAAAGAGCGAGAAATAAAAAAAAGCCTTAAAAATGAGAAAAACAGAAGATATGAAAGAAGGTCTGAAAATAAATTTGAAACGGATAAAGAAAATAAATAATCACAAGCGATACTAAAATGAACAAAGGCGCATATCTAGATGCAGTTATCAAAAACGTACATCTAGATGCAGTTCTGTATTTATTTCTTAATAAAATATAAATGAAAATATTATACATACAAAAGGAATGTAAGCTTTTAATCGAAGTTTATTGGAGACTTTACACATTTTTTTTGAGAAGAGACATTTATTAACAATTTTGTTTGGTTATTTTTCCTTCATATCGGTAAATGTCGTCCTGGGTATGATGATAAACTACATCCAACAGTAAAGCCTCTGATCAGTAGATTGGAGATTTTGAGGAGCGTGGACCCACCTCTTAATTGTTACTGACCCGGGGTAGTAGCGCCTGTTAGGGTCTCAGCTAGTGACAAATATTGACCCCCACACCAAAAAAAAAAAAATCAACAGTACATTTGTATAATAAAATGAATAGATTTTTATAGCAAAATGACAATCAATGAAACAATAAATATATAAAAATACATTTTTATAGTAAAATTACCATAAATACATTTTATGGTCTATAAATTATATATCTAAAACAAAAGTAATTTTACCCTGAATGTATAGAATTATGTGAAAAATATCTATAGTTGAAGCAGTAAAACTGTATTCAAAATATGTAGATTTCATCATTAAATAACCCGTAGATGTTAATATGCCGCTAAACAAAATCAGCCAACCAACAAAATATCGGTAAATGCGAGATTTTCATTGTTATTCGCCAAGTTTATATGCCCCTTCAAGACTGAGTTGATCATAGCTCTCCACAACTACCAGTTCTTTATTGCTCTAACTGCCTGCCATTATTTCAAATGAACATTTTAACTAGGCATATCCGCCATCTTCTTTTCTTTCAATATGTCCTGTAAGTGATAGTTTCTCTAGGCTCTCCTTCCACGTTACATGTTTAACTGTCTCTTTCTGATTCTTCAATATAAATTTCGTTGAAGTTTCTATTTTCCTGTAAACTTTCTCATTGCTCACATGTTCTGTCCATGGTATTAGCATTTACCGATAGAAACACATCCATGTCGGTTCAAGTTTCTTGTTCATCTGTGCTGAAAATTATTCAACATTCATGGCCATATAGGAGATTGAAATTACATATCAGGTCGACACTTCTTTGTCTGCATTTAACGAAATTTTCCTTGATACTTTGCTTAGTTTCTGGAAGAATATTTTCGCTGTACCCAAGCGCCTTCGGATTTCTGTGTCACATTTTCTTCCATTTGTTACTACAATACTCAGTTTAATTTCGTCACCTACAAAATGTGCATGCAGAGGTATAGGCATGCTAAAAACGAAGAAATAAACAATATTCACACACGACCATACAAAGTTTTATTATTGAGTATTCTTTCAAATTGAAAGAAACGGATTACAAGTGTCCTCGCGAAACAAAGTCTCACAAAAATATTTTGTTTTTGTTCTTTACAACATGACAGAACCAACTGTGTTAGTATGATAGAAGAAAGAGAATCTGTCTACATAATGGGAGTGACACATATGTACGTTGTTTTATGAATGCGAATAATTTCTCAGCAGTCGGCAGAGAGCTGTTGGTGAACGGGAGCTGTGTTATAACTACTACTTA